CCTGCAAAGAGGTCAAAGACTACTGAAACTGAGGTACTCCTAAGCTTTCTTTCTTTTTTTTTTTAAGTATTCCCTCTATTTCTTTTCCAACATCAATTTGCTGTTCTGCAAAGTGAACTTGCTCTCACTGAATATAGTTGACATATCTTCAAATGGAAGTCTTTTAGGACAGAGAAGTCTTAAAGGGTTTTAATATTCTCCTCTTAGAATAGGCCAGAAATGTCAGCATTCTTTTATACACCAAAATGTTGTCAAAGGCAAGCACTCTTATACCACTCTTTGAAAGGTTCATTATGAATATTGTCCCATAGGTGTGTTCTCTTTTTTGCTATTGCATTCAGAAACATTTGCAATAAAACCTCTGCTAATGAAATCTTCATTATCTTCTGACGGTCAGTAATCTTTGTTGTATATACAGAACTTCAGAAATCCTAAGTATGTTAGGACAGAAATTAGGCTTAGTATGTTCTTTTTAGAACTGAGGAAACTACTCATCTGGGAAGCCCAAAGAGAGAAAAATCACATCTGCTAATGGTTCAGCATAAACCAGCACTGAAGTTAAGCCTAAGAGAAGGCCAAAAAACCATGGAAGGTCTGCTCAGGCTTTTTCTGTGAAACAAGATTTGTTTATGTGAGTGTCTTTTCCAAAAAGTAGCATTTTTTGCAGTGCCTTAGAAGAAAGTGAAAGAAAAAAAATGAAACAAACTATGCTTTAAGGCACAACGTTGTCATGGTGTGTGTATCCCCCGATCTTTATCTTCTCATATATGTTTAGCCAGTCATATCGCAAAACTGTAACTATCTGTCTGATGTGAAAGAACTGTCCTAACTGCTTGGGCTTTCACAGTTTTGCAACTAGTATGCAGTACACTGGTTCTTCTACTTCCCCCTGCAATCCTGCACTATATATTTCCTCTCCCTTTGCCCTGTGATTGTTTCAAGCTACAATACCTAGGTAATGCTTTTTAGATTTCCTGTTGATGCCCGTTTAGGTACTATTTAGTAGAGGTAGAATCATGCCTGAAAGATGAATTGTTGAGGATAAAGAGTATGTGCCAGTAGCCTTTCTTAAAAATCATTGTCTTGCAACATGAACTTTTAATTACTGCTCTTGCTGGAAGTCAAGAATTCTGTTTCTTACCTGCTTATGAATGCTGTGACAATACCTGCCGGTTGCGAAGATGCAAAGCTTGGTTTATGCAGTGTCTAAAACTGTTCAAAACTGCATTTGTCGGTGTAGTGGGCAGCATGATAGCTTGTTGAAAACCACATTTCTGATACTTTTTTTCCTGATCCTTGGATTAGCCTATGGAGTGGGAGGGGAAAAATGCCAGTGAGGATGAGCAGGTCTTGCTTCCTGGGACAGTGTAGAATCCAGAGCTGCTTCACATAACTTTTGCTATGAGAGAGAGCTCTGGACTGTGGTTTAATAGAACTACAGAAAATGAGCAAAGGTGAATGTACATTCCAGTCTTTGTGCATTTCTGATGCGAGTAAGCAAACAAACCTGCAGGCTATAGACTTCCCAAACATGCTTGGTCTTTACTTAGATAGTGAAATGTGAGAATACAGATCATTCAGAAAACCCTTTTTCATCATCTTTGGGAGTTGGGGAGAAGAGAGATAGTAAAGGAATCTCTGTTCAGGAAAGCAGTTTTTTCTTACACTGGGCTCTTCAGCAGTTCTCCTCACTTTGGCCTGGTGAGAAATGCATCCCTGTGTACTTGTATGTAGGGATGGCATAGCTTGAGCAGAGGATAAAGGGAGAATGAGGAATTTAGTGCCATGTACGGATTTCTGAAGACCTTTGAAGCACTGTACTCCTTACTCTTGTCTAGGGGCGCAAAGGCTACTATTGGTACCTGTTCAGTTGATCCTTGCATTGACACTGGCCAGAATTCAAAGGTTATAGTTTCTCTTGCCCTGGAAACACAGTGGCATCTTTTTAAACTTGCGCTTTTAGGGCGGCAGTTTTGTTACTCTCGACAAGGGCAAGCCCTCTTAAGAGTTTATGTTAGTTAAATTACGCTGAACTGGTGTTCATCAGATGGCAGTTTAACTATGGAAAAAGAAGATAATTCTGCGTGAATCTCTTCAGTCTGTCTAATCTACTTTCAATTGTTCTTGGCATTCAAAAGAAGGTCTCAAAATAGAGGACTTTCAGCTTTCAACATTCATGGGATAGGGCTGTACAAGTATCTGTTAGCTGTTTTGCAGTTTTGGCTTGTAGTTCTAGGGGAAACGCTGTGGTGTTTCTGTATGAACTGTTCTCAGTAGTGCAGCCCTTTCTTGCAAAATCTTGCACCTTCCCAGATCTCAATTAAATTTATCTTTGCAGCCACTATTGACAACTGATCTTTTTTGCTTTCACAGATGTTTTTTGGCTGTTTGAAGACTAGAGAGACGTTATTTTGAGGGTGAAACTATGCTGAAAGAAATCATGTTCAGCTTCAGTCTCAAAATTATTACCAGCTTGCAGTCTGAACCTCTGCTTTGTCTTAAGCATTGTAAGCACTTGGAATCCACTCCTGCTCAAGTAAATCTCTGTGAAAGGTATCAAAAGTTTCGCATCTCTCTCTGGAACAGTAGATGTTCCTGCTGTGGTTACCATCAAAACTGTCAGAAGCTGATTGTTGAATATGGTCTTCCATGTCTAGCAGGAAGAGGGTTTGAAGAGGTCATCCTTTTCTTTTTCAAGACAAATGTGACATGTTGCTTCCCTGCTGCAGTGAAACGGTTTTGAATCTACTTGTCATTGTTTGTTTTTGGTAAAGTATTCACATGTCATCTCATTCAGAGGACCCAGGTGTTCTTGAATACTAAGTTTTATTTAAAATGTTGGCCTTGGTAAGGAATCTGTCCAAGCATGTAGAGATTATAGTCCTCTAACTTGCAGACACTTACAAGAGCATTTGGAAAAAAAAATACAAAGCAAGAAACAAGACAGCTTTTGTTCTGTTGCATCCTGTGAGTTGCACAGTGCTGGAATGCCCTTGTGGACTTAGTTGAATAGCTTCTGTCAGGCAAAAACTTCTGATAAATTAACTAGTTGGGTGAGATATACGGGGTCATCAGAGTGGTCGTGCAGTCTGAATAGGTGATCTGATAGAGGACCTCATGCTAGGAATGTGTCTCTAGTTTATCAGAGAATATGCCTGACACCACTTCTGGCATATCTGTGAGTAAAAACTTACATAGTGTTCATGATTCTCTTTTGACTATAACATGAGGCAAGTAAACTATGAAGAGGCTGCAGGCACTTGCATTTATGCTGGGCACTGCATTCCTTTTTTGCTATGTGGCATTTTAATTTATATTGGAAAAGTTCCATTGAATTCTCATTTAGATACAGATTTGGTGTCCAGATGTTGCTGGCATCTGGTTTGTTGTTTTCATTGGCAAATACCTTGTAGCAAGTTTTACATTGGGAATGCATATAACATGGGTACTCATTTTATAAGCAAGACCCTCTCCATTTATTTTGGGGTGTATTTCATGACTCCTCATTTTCCTTCTCTTTTTTTTTTTCTTCCTTTTTTTTTTCCCCTTTCTTTTTTTCCTTTTAGAAATTATCCTTTGTTTACACTGCTGCTGGACTGCAGCTCATCTTTTTCGTTCTTGTTAGTCCTCAGGTGCATGATGGCATGTTCTGTTGATGGCTGATGATAATCCTTGCAAGATTGCAAATGAGCAGACACAAAAGAAGTGGAAATGATAGCTGCTTTTCATTCTCTCTGTCTTGTGAGCTCAGACCTTCTAAGTGAGGAAGGGTCAGTAGCCCCCAAATGCTGTGTCTAATGCTTTCAGATTTTTTTTTCTTGCTATAAAAATGACTAAAGTAATTGTAAGCTTTAGCATATCTCTTCTGCCTGACATGCCAGGGTGATGGTGAATGGCAGTCAGGCCTTAAAAAGTGGTGATGTTTGTCATTTTGTGAAATTATACTGAGTTTTTGTTCCTCTCATCTCTTGTTTTGTCACTTTTCCTAGCTCTGCATAGGCTGTTCCACTTCTGCTTCAAATTAGCTGAACCTTCAGAGTTTGAGCATTAAGTGTTGCAGCCCTTGGGCAAGATCATACCTATTCAAAACCCTCCCCTCAAATGCACCAGCTAAGGAACTTCAGCAGACAGGGAGAGGAAATAGTTGAACAAGAAAGGGAAAGTTAGATGAGGAAGAATTGCTTTTGAGAAGGGTGTATGGGAGTCCAGAAGGGCAGGTTGTAAAAGTAGTGTCAGAAATGTGCTTAATTTTTTTTTTTTCCTCCTTCCTGTGATATTTAGGTTTGTAATAACAAACCCTGGTCAAAATGAGTTATCTTCTATAAGAATCTATACAGCCAGAGCTAGCGTTTATTTTTGGCTGTCAGTCTTAGTGGAGAGAAAGCTGACTCACAGCTTACCTGGGTACAACAGTCTGTATTTTCCTTGCTTTTCTCAACACTTGCTGTATGAATATGTTGAAGTATATTTGTATATCTTTTTATGTTTCTGTGGTTTTCTTATTTCAAAAAACCAAAAAATGTTCCTGTTCTCTGTGTGAGAGACACACATATTTTTGCCTGTCTCAGCAAAAACAATAGCATGATACATTAAAAATAATGTTCAGATGAAATGGAATGCAGCAAGTTGCCAAGCAGGGTTAAAGAAAACACCCCGATAAAGCAAACACTTATTTACATCCTACGTGAGTTCTTAGGAAATAAAGGATATCATTTAGACATGTTCTTCGTTCCTTCTGATGTCATTTTCTGCTGATTTTCATATTCAGTTTTAGGAATTAGGACATGCACTTTTGACTTCGCTGTGTTGAGCAAATGGATTTCCCCACCCCCCGTTGAAGTATAATAGAGCATAAGTACAAATGTCTGTCTTGTGTTCACATTAATCCACAGTCAAACAAGCTACGTAACATGTTGGGTTGAAAGTCCCCCTGGGCTCTGTCAGGTCACTTCCCGTAGCAGATGGGTTCTGTCCCTTTTTCTAAATCTAGGAAACAGTTTCCTCCTCTTCTCTTGCACGCTCCAGGAGACTGTCCTTCTGAAGAATCAGTCAGCCAGCAGACTTGGCACGAGGTTAGCCTGTAGGAACTACTCCACCTGGCCTGTTGTACAGTCTGCTGTCACGAAGTGGAGTCCCTTTACGTTAGGTGCTTGTAGAGTGGGATTAAATGTGGACTGCAGCAAGCAGCGATCTCATAGGCAGACCAGCTGACTGCTATCATGCTAAGGCAGTTAAGTGGTAAACTTTCCAAAGCAGTAATTTTTGTTTCATGGGAGATCTCTTTTAAGGTGTGTCAAATGGGCTATTGAAACAGTCTCACCTCACAGCTTGAGGGAGTAGAAGTGCTTGCTTGGGGGTTTGGTGAGGTGGAATTTTTTTTGTTTTACTGGTTTAAAATAAAGATAAGAATATCAATTACCACATGCATTCACCATACAAAACGTAACCACTGAATGGCATGTGCAGATGGTAACCTGTGAAGACAGGTGGTGTCTGACACTTCTGTTTGTGGCTGAGGCAGGGATGGTTTTGCAGCAAGGGATGGCAGGGAGCATTTAAGTGGTCAGAAGGAATAGGTGCTTGGTCTGGGAAAATAAGAGTGATGGAAAAATTCCTGGGTGATACTTAGGCAATGAGGGAAACAAGATAGGAAAGAGGAGGAAAAAAACCCCTAAAAACCCAGAGGAGTATACTCCTTCTCTTTATCTGTCAAACTGTCTAGTATGTGCTTTCCTTTCCACATCAGTGAATCCTGTCTCCTCACTGTGAAAATGTGATTTCCCTATAAATAAAACTTTTTATTTTTAAATGTAAGCACTGCATGAAGTTATTAATCTCTTGTAAATGCTTGTGGCAGCTTAGCATTAGAGAAAGTACTTTCGGGAATTTTTTTGCATACAAATTAATCTGTCAGGCTGTCACATTTAAGACTCTTGACAATTCACATTTGACTGATACCACAAATTAGGAAGGCCTGATCTTGGAGCTGAGTTAAATCCAAGTAATTTTTTTAGGTTTTAGAGGAGCATTGCATTCATTTCAGTCCAGTTGTTGTCCAGCCCTGAGAGTTGTTTTGGTGATGGCCTGGGCTAACTCTTAACTCGAAACCAAGATTTACAGGCTGCTGAAGCCATTGTATTAGACATGGTCAAGAAAACGTACAGTAGTACCTAAACAGCAAAAAGACAGGATTGTGGTGGAGGGGAAGACACTGTGTATAATTCCAGGGGTAGTTTGTAAGTTTTCTGCCTGTAGCTACCAGTCAGAACAATTCTTTGACCTGCTTGGCAGTTCCCTAAGAGTTTCTTGTCAGCACTGGCTTTCGTGCTGTGCATTTCTTTTTTCCAAGTGTTTCCCAGATGGATGTGCAGACTTTATTTGGCTCTCTTCCAACCCTTCCCTTACCTGCTGCTGCATGCATGTTGCTTTGTTCTGTCTGCTTCCTTAGTGTTGGCATCTTTGAGCTCTCTTTCTGATTACCTCTCTGTTTCAACTGTTCTTATATACATAAGGCGTACTTTACGAAACAGATCTGAAGCACTTTTCTCTTCCCCCCCACCCCTTCTTTTATTTGGCTATGATCTGATTGGGAAAAGTGATTCCATCTGACTTACCACTGATGGCAGTATGGGCACAGTGCTTATGGATGGCAAATTTAATTTAAATTTAGTGGGAATTTGCTGTCAGGTGTGTGCATAGTTTGTGATGTTATGGGAGAAACGCTGAGTGGCAGCTGAGATTTTCCTTGGTGTTCTTGCTTTCCACATTCCAGGTTTGTTTGGGAGGAGGTCGTAGAACCATTGGAATTACTTTTACCAGTGTCAATGCCACAATCTGATTATGGTATTTGTTTGTTGCAGCTGTAGGATACAAGGGTTTAACTTTGTATCTTTTTCCTACAAATTTCTGAAGAAAACCTGTTTTTTGTCCTTGCTGGACTGTTGCAATTTTTAATACCAATGCAAGTTTTCTTTGGCTATGAAAAGATGTCCCAGGCAATGTGATATTTTGGGGTTTAGTCATTTAGGAGAAGATAGGCTGTAGACATTGCTGGGTGGTTGGGTGTGGTTTCCCATTTTGATTAATACTCTACTCCATGGTAGTGCTTAATTCTCACAGCTTCAAAGGAAGAAACCTTATGGCAGTTACACAGAGTTTTTCTCTTTGGAAAAATCTCACTTTAACCTCCCCAGTAAGAAGGGCGTAGATTACTTACTTTTCTTCTAAAAGCATGAAAGTTTACATATTTTAGGTTTATTTCACCTCACACCCCACTTCTTAAATCAACTTTTACTTTATTTCTATTAGGAAGAAGGCTAATACAAACATGAGGCCTCTGTGTCCATGTCCTTCCTCTGCCATCACTTTTGGATTCGTTTTGCCTCACTTCAACCAGATTTGACTGAGAATCAGAAATGTCAGTGGTTGTTGCATTCGCATGGGTTTTTAAAAAAAAATGAATAAGGCAAAAGAGGAGGGCCTGAAGAAATCTATCTTCGGGGGGAAAAACCAAAACGTTGTCCTTTCCAGTGCTTGAGGGAAGCTAACTCTGTCTTATAGAAATGTCCAATCCTCTTTGACTAGTAGACTGAACCACTGCCATGTGGCAAACCATTCCATGGACTTTCTCAACATTTTGTGAAGAGTAATACTGATACAGAAATGAAAAACATCATGTGGATTTCAACTACTTGTAGTTGTTCGTAGTCTCAAAGGGGTGGGGAAAGGATGAAGCAAGGAGGTTGTATATCATTGTGTGTAACTAAACAAATAGTACTTAACGTAAAAGCAGATGGAACAGAGAGATGTGATGTATGTTGCTGCTGAATACAGAGGAGAGAATTTGTCTTACTGTAAAATGAACTCCCAAGTGGATTTTATTTTCAGATCTGTCATTGTTTTTTGTTTTAGATCCTGTTTAATATGGTTGTAGAAGTGCCTCGTTGGACAAATGCAAAAATGGAGGTAATTAAAAAAAATACCTTGATTATATAGGTATTTATGAAAGCTATGACAATGCAGTGGCTTCCAATAGTCAGAGTTTAATCAGAATGTGGATCACTCTTTACACATAAAATTTTCTCTGCTAAGAAATTATTTTGGAGCTGTGCATACAGGCAGTTTCCTTGCAGTTATAAAGAGTTGAGGTTCTAGTTTTGTTTCCCTTTTGCAGGTGAGCACTGCTTCTTGACAGCACTCTGACTGCAGAGTGCAGCATACCTGCAACAGAGTCCTAGAGTACCGGCTTGCAGGACACTGTCCAACATTTAGTCTTATTCTCGCTTGCTCATACAGCATTCCACTCAGGATTTAATTCCTCTTGTTTCTGCTGTATAGTGTGCTAGGCCAAATCCTGACAAATGGAGTTGCAAATGAAAAAGCATTTGTGACAAAAAAATACCTGGGGAGCTCACTGATTGAAAGTGTCTCCTCTTGCAGTTAGGTGTTTTAAAAGTAGAGCCTACTGGGTTGGTCCTCTGCAGTTACAATGTAGAAGCTGAGTAGTGTCATCTGTAGTGTTTGTGAAACAATAGATCTCACCAGGATATGTCCAATCTTCATGAACACTTGTATTAATTTTAGGCATGCTTCCTGGATGCTTTTAAGGAAGTTTGTGGATGAGCTGTTAACTATTTTGATTATTAAAAATATCACAAAAGAACCTCCCCAGCCAGTTGTTTCAGAATTTTATTTTCTCCTGGAAAATCATTTGAACTGTATTTACTACCACAGTTAGTTGTTATTCTGCAAGCAGCGTTGGTGACTATGCAGAACTTGTGCTTACTAAAAAGTATTTGTATGCTGAGAGGTAGAGAGAGAAGGGATGTATGCAATAGGAGGGCAATGAACAGAGGGTGAGAAGAAGATGAAACATTTCAACTGTCGCTCTCAAAGCCTCTGTTGCCAGAAGAACTTGTGCCACCATTTGCATGTCTGTTGAACTTGTACTATAAAGTACAAGAGCTTCCAACTTAAGTTCCTTTCAGTATTTATGTTTGACCATGACAGTCTCCTTACAGATTTATGATGTCTCTTCTAACTTCATTTTTTCCTTGCATACTTCACAACATTATTTAAAACCTTAATAAGCTGCTTTTTGAACATGACCCTTGGGAATTAGAGTGAGGCCGCCATATTTTAATACTTCTCAAGCCACAAGCACATGCTCCCAGATGGATCTTTCTAACTGGTTGGGTACAGAATGAATTGCTTCCCATTTTACCATTCCCTCTTTCTCTTTCTCCTTCTGTCTCTCTTTCTCTGTCTCTTTTTCCCCACTACTGCTTAGATTGCCACTGAGGAGCCGTTGAATCCCATTAAACAAGATATAAAGAAAGGCAAGCTTCGATATGTGGCAAATATCTTTCCTCACAAGGGTTATATATGGAATTATGGTGCCCTCCCACAGGTAACATTTTTGTTGTAATGGTGAAAGTTTTCTGTCTCTTGTGTAAATTGCCTTGTAAATCTTGGGGACTGCCTGAATGCAAATCTGAATGCAAGAAGGATGTTTCTCTGATACATTTGTAAATCAGGATTTTTTTTATGTTGAACTTCACTGTGTCCATAAATTTTGATCAGAATTTGGGTGTGGGTGTAAATATGTGCTGTGTTTCAGGCAGGAGTTAAATGATTAAGAAATCTTTAATCTTTAGTCTGTGCCTCTGTACTGTAGTGACAGAATTAAACTGTCGTCGTCTGCCGTTCAAGAATACGTTGTCCGAAGTAGCCCTTTTCCGCTTAAACAAGGCCTTTTTTAAAAAAAACTAATTTAAAATTTTCATGTATTGCAGCATAAATTTTCATTGGGATTTCTTAACATCTTTAGCAAAGAGGAAGACAAAGGCTGTTCTTTTTTAGATTAAACCTCAACTGCCTTAGTTAACTTTTCTCTGAACTGTGAGAGTTTACTGATGATGACACATTCAAAATTTTGAGTCTTGAAAAGGCCCAACTAATGGCTGAAATTTTGAGCCTAATGAAAAGGTTTTTTTCATTTTTAATTTCTGTGAATAACACATTGGACTCACATTAGTGCTGAAGATCATGATGGAGCTAGAAAAGAGTAATTTATTTTCTTTACATTTAACTGCATAAGCAATGAAAGTTTACTCTGAAAATCTGCATCTGTATTTGATATCTGAAGAAGAGATTCCAGCCAGGTGTTGGAGTATAGCAATTAAGTTCTCACCCAGTCAGCAGTCTCAGCAGACAAAGCTTCCAAGCAGGTATAGTTGGGAACCAGCAATTCCATTTAATGTTTTGAAATTTCATGTGTGCCTTAGTACAAAGCCTAAATTAAACATTTGAATATTTTCCTGAACAAAGTGCATTATTTTGGACTGATGACACTTTCCCCAGGAAAAATGCTCAGCTCCCCTTGTTACCTTGTGAGTCAGAAGAGGAATTGTCATTTTTATTTTCTGTAATAACTTTAAAATACCAGTTGGATCATTACCCCTCCAATTGTTGAAGTCTAGATGATAATCCAGATCCCTACTAGCAGCAGTAATACACAAAATTCAATTCAGCGTCTCCATTATCACAAGAGGACTTTTCATCAGGATCAGCAGTTGCCAGAAGTTCCACGTATTTGTGGCTGCTGTTTTATGCTGTGGAACAGAGAAGGAAAAAAATGACAGTAGGACTATCATTACTGCAGAAGTTGTTGTACTGTCCAGAGAACATTCCTAGCAAGCTTTCCTTCTAACCTACAGGTGGAGGCGTGCAAGCTGGGCAGGAGCATAGTATTGATATTTAAGCAGCCTTAAACATGAAGCACTTTGGAAACATATTTGAAAAATAAGTTTTAAGTTGAAATTCTGTCTTGACTCCAGCAATTTTTTGGTAATGATTCTGCTACCTAAATACCTGAGCATTTGCTTTTCACCGTTTTGCCTTTTAGTATCAGCCATGTTCTCAAGAACAAGTTTGAGGTAGAAGTTTGACCATGGACAGCAGGAGCTAACAGTACAGCTCCTTGGAAAAAAGGGTTTTCTAACACCTTTTCAACAAAAATTCATTGGACTCAAAATTCTTACCAGGAAAACTTTTTGACTTAAGAATGAGTTACTTGTTGCTAGCCAGTAAGAGACAAAACAAGAACTGGTCTAGTAATTAAGTTAGTATAACTTGGCTATGATTCCTTGCTTGTACAGAGCTCAGAGGAGGGATTTGAACTTGCCTCCTGGAGAAGCTGCTTTGGTCTTAAGCCGTTGGCTGTTCTTGGGAATGTACGCATCTCAAAATAGTCGGAAATATTTCATACTTAAATCTAAAAACTTCAAGCTAATTGCGTGCTGACAAATCCATATGTAGGAACTTGATTAACTCAAAGCCTAGATGTTTTTGAAAGCAACTTATGTTAGTGCCATGGCGTTTGAAGATATAAGAATGTAATTGTAGGATGTCCTAGCTTAATCCCACAACCACTAGTAACCAGAGAAATACATATTCAGGGTCCTCTGATGTCTTAATCACTGCAGTTTGATAAAGTGTGCCTGAGTCACAGCCCTCAGTAATCCTCATGTTACTTGTCCTGAGTATGAGTTACTCAACATCAGTCCATTAGCTGTTGGTTTGTTTTTTCTTTTCCCATTGAGTAAGCCTGTTCTCAGAAAGCTGAGAAAGTTTTTATTGGTGGTTTTATTAATCTTAGTAATTTAGTGGGTAGGTGAATTGTCATTGCAGATCAGCTGGTGACTGATAATTCTCTTTCCTTTAACAGACCTGGGAAGATCCAAACCATACAGATAACATTACAGGATGTTGTGGGGATAATGATCCTATTGATGTTTGTGAAATAGGTTCAAAGGTTTGTCTTAACCTTGACATATTAAATTAATCTTGATAAATTTAATAATTTGGTAACAATTTATGGAAGAGAAGGGCAGATGGAAAACAAGAAAAGATGGTAATTGTCTCAGGGGATGACAAAAGTATGAATAGGATCTCAGGATGAAATAGGTAAGGAAATGGTGCATTTTTAAAAAGGAGGGGGAAAAAAGCAGGATTTGGTAAAGTATATGTAGTGTATAAAAGGGAAAATAAGAGAACACCACCCTGAAGTTCTGTGGCTGGACATTGAGTTTTGAGTGAAGCAGGAGGGGGTAAGATTCTGGGGGAAGGAAAAGATTTCTTTTTCCTCTGTTATCAGTACTGGAGCTAGGAACAGGTTTCTGAAAGATGAGGAAATATGACAGCTTCATGCACATAAAATTGCAAGGTCAGACCCACAAAGGAGGTAGGTTTGAGTTTTCTTACGGGTGCAAACAGAAGTAGATCCTTCTTCCCTAGAGGAGAAGACAGGAACCTGTTGCAGTGTTGCAGAGTTACGAGGTACGGAGTGGGTGGATGAAAACGAGGTGCAGCAAATGCTATTAGTAGGTATAGGGGAAAGGTTTAGCTCACTGAAAGAAAATTCTACGTATCTGGAGGCAGCAAAGAATGGAGCAATCCTCTGTGGTATCAAAGATGGGGTTATGAAACGGATGAATTTGGAAGAGGGATCTCTTGGGATATTTTAGGGTAGGAGAAATTTAATTGATGACCTCAGCAGAGGTGGCTTTATTTGAGGAAAGGAACCTAAAGCTAAATTTCAAGGGATCCAGAAAGAGTTATAAAGGCAGTATTAGCTGGTAGGGAGAAGGTTCCCAAGAGAATGCAAAAAAGAGTCGTGCTGATATTTCTGGGGAAGGGGTGTGTGTTCATATGCATATATTGGAGTCTAGAGGAAGGAACAGCAAGAGATAGATTAAGAACAAAAGTTGAGAAAGTAGAGAATCAAGGGGCAGGAAGGAGTTAAAAAATGAGTATGAGATACTTTTGACTTGCAGTTTGGGGTGAAGATTGAGAAGGTGTAGAGGAAGTAGGGTGGAAGAGAAGGAAAAATTTTCTAGCTTGTGTTCTCTACTTAAATAAATGCTGACTGGAGAATTCAGGGTTAAAGAACAAGCAATGGTGGGAGAAAGGCTAGTAATGTTAGAGATGTGTACGGGGTTTACAGATCTATCTTGTAATTCTGTTAGCTGCTGGTCAAACACGTAGTAAAACTATTTTATCTGTAGGGTAAAAGAGAAATTCTATGTAGTGTTTTCCAAATCTTTGAGATTATGTTCTGTTTCAGATTCATTCTTCTGGTGAGATTGTTCAGGTGAAGGTCTTGGGTGTTCTAGCTCTTGTTGATGAAGGAGAAACAGATTGGAAGATAATTGCTATCAGTGTGGATGACCCAGAAGCTCAGAAAATCCATGGCAAGTATTTTTATCTTAATGCAATTTACATCAGCAACTTACACAGTAGAACGGTATCTGAGTTTAGGCCACCCAGGACAAGAAGAGGCAGACAATGGAAAGACGAGACTTTTTCACTGCTGTTTAAATCAGGTACTTCCTTCAAGGAAGGCGTATGTGCTTTCACACTAAGCTTTTGGAAAGATTCACTTGGATTTTCAAGAGGACCTGTCATGCAGAAAGCCTTTTGACTTCTGAAACACAGCTGCCTTTGAAAGTGACCTCTTAAAAATACAGGCTTATCTCTTGTGTAATAGTGCTTATTTACCCACTCAGATTATGTAGCACACTGCTATTTTCCATGTTGAAATTGTTTTTTCCTTTTACATTTGCAGGCATTGTATCGCATTCTGAAAAGGACTATACATTTCCAATGTTTTGTCACTTGTAACTGGGTTACTTCCAGGGTTTGTTGCCTGGTACGAACAATGAGGTTTCACCTTTTAGCTTGAAAATTTGCAAAGTAAACTGCTAACGTAGCTCACCCTAATATCAGGCTTGATGATGACTAGCTGTGCAGGGGGAAGTACCCTGTTCAGACTTGTCCTCCTTGTGACCATGCTTCTGGTATCCAAGTGGAATTCAAGTACTAAAATGTGTCTTTGTGAATAGCACATGAGGTGTAATTCTGCTTGCAGACTGTTCATTAAGAAGGTGATACAGATGGGTTAAAACTGCGGGGAGTTAGGTTTTTACAGCACAGGTAAAGTGCAGCTTTTCCCTGGATAAATGGAGGTTCACTTCCTCAAATGCAATGTTGCTGGGAATCATGAGAATTAAGTGACGAGGTTTGTCTAAAAGTTAGCGATTCTTACGAAACTGAAAACCATCTGTACCATCAGGGGTATGTATGATCAGAGCCTACTCTGTGTTGGTAGGGAGCAGCAAGGCACAGCGTGGACTTTCTGTAGGAATAGAGCTATCCACTAGTTTTTTAAGGAGTTCTGTTTCTTGGGCATTGAGGCTTTTTCCTGGTTTCTGAATGTAGAGTAAGTATATCACTGGAATTGGCCCTTCAGTCTCAGTTTTCTTGTAGGTTGCTTTCACATGGAGAATACTTGGCTTGTGGGGAAAGAAGGGTAAAAGATGAAGTGAGGAAGGGGGAACTCTTGGGTTGGGGCTGATTAAAATAAGGGGCAGATGAATTACTACATAGTGTTTATGAGTCTTTAACTACTTTATCAGGGACTAGGAGTTCAGCTTAAGAAAATAGTAAGTAATAGTTTGTTGTTAATGTTAGTATCAATTTAAACCTCTCTATAATGTGCAGTGAAATGATAATACGTGTCAGTAGTTAAAAGACAAGTAATTAGCACTTTATTTCTAGACACTGTTCTGTTTAACCTTTTTTCCCTTAACAGTTTCTGAGAGAGTTTAATCAGAAAAGTGAGTGAGAGAATTTCAAAGGAGTCTACTAAGTGGGGGTAAAACTGGGACAGTTATGCCACTGGGTTAAGTAGCTCTATTTGAAAGCTGTCTTGTTTTGTTTTTTTCAGGTAGTGACTGATTTGTAAGCTGTATTACAGCTTTAGTTTGTTTGGGAGTGGAGTAAGAGTTTTAGTCTTGTTTAAAAAAAAAAAAAAGAAATAAAAAAAGAAGAAAAAGATGGGCAAACCATTGCCTGTAGTTGATGCCTGTGTGCCTCCTTTCTTATCAGAGAATAGATTAAAAACTTCAAGAAGAGAACTGTCCTTCTGAGGTTCAGAGAAGTGCAGAAATATCATCCAGTTTAATATGATTTCCCTTTGGGATTGGAGTTGCAGTCCAGTATTTACAAAAGGAAAGAAAAAGAGGTGTGGGGGAGAAAGCCCCCATCTGCTTTCACAAAATATGACTAGCTCGCAGTGTTTAACAGCAATCTTTCAGTCTGAAAACAAACAAATCTGTTGGAGTAGTCAGTACAATATGTCCTTTTATACTTGTTTTTCCCCCTTCCCAAAGATGTTAATTATTTCAGCACAAAGGGATAGCAGCTACAGATAAAACTGGTATCTCCCTCAATAATTGACATGCTGCTGTGTTACGGTGGTGGCCTCCTAGGGAAAGATGAGGCTAAGTGTTCCCTTCTAAGTCTGTCCAGTCATTTTTGTATCATTTGCTAAACATTTTGAACTGGACTGAGAATTGTCACATGTGCTTTCAGCTCAGTATGTGCACAGCCCCCAGTGATCATTTGGAAAAGATAATTCCGAGACACCAGAGTCGTGATTACTTGCAAACCTCATCCTGAGCCCGCGCAGTGTGTTAACTCCTCCTGCTGCTTTAAGCACACCCCAGGTACTCTGTGTATTTTTCTTCTGGGATTGTGATCATTCTTGTAAGTGCAATTGATTTTCCTGAGACTTCACAGAACTTAAAACTGAGCAGTCCCAACTTCTGAGCACTTCTCATTGTTTATTCTTAGCACTCCACTGTACTGTGTCTTGCAGGCATTTATTGATAAATACTGGTTTAAATTGGAAACCCTGCCTAGAACTCTGTCTTTCACATAGAGCAATGAGAAACTAGTTTATACTGACAATACCCAGGAACGATAAGCAATGCTTAGCACCTATTCAAGTGAGAACTGTGTCATCAGTGGGAATAGCAGGGGCTTAGTGTCTTTTTGGACTGAGTTTGGAAGGTAAGATGTTGGAAATTATAGCATTTCATGGTGGTGGGCGTGGGAGCAATCTCACTCCAAGTACAAGCTGTATGTCAGATGCAGGTATCTGTATGAGAGAGTTTCTTTTAGACTAAAACGGGACATCTTCAGATTTATCTATTTCAGTAAGATTTGTCTTTGTGGCTACCTGAAAACCACTGTGGTGTCTTTTTGCTCAGCCAGTTGCTAGGCAGATGGCCATTAGCAGACCAGCAAAGCAACTTCAGACCAAGCAAGTCTGGGAAAGGGCCCAAAAGCTCCCTGCACACTGAAGCACTAAATCCTGGTGGTATAATAGGCCTGGCTGCTTTTTTTGTTGTTGTTGCTTTATGTTTGTTTGTATTTTTGTAAAATACTAGCCAGGAGAAGCAGCAAAATCTTGGAGTGGAAGGGTTGCTTGTCTGCTTATCTCATAATTTAGATTTAATTTAATATATTGGAATTCACATACACATCTGATGTGCTTTACAAGGTTGAGCTCAGAAAGGATGAGCGATATCTTCGTGCTGCAGTTTGTTCTAAATGTATATAGCATCTTCATGTTGGACAAGAGGTTTTACAAATCCCCTGCCGTTGAAACAGAAGTGTGTTTTAAGCAGCTTCTGAAAAGTCTGACTCTCAAAAGGTCATCTTACCTTCCCTGAGCAAATTGGACAAATCATGTATGCTGGATGGCATTTTGGAGGTGATTTACCAGCCTGGAATCTTAACAGCTGGTTTTTGCTATTGCTCACTGGAAAGATGCCTGGCTATATTCAACAGCAGTTGGTGATGTCTGCTGGCTTTGTTGTGCTACCATTTGCTGGTACCGGTATAGTTAACTGTGCTGTGTTGCCACGCTTCTTTTCCAATGCGCAACTCAGGATTGGCTTTTTGAGTTAAGTGATCAAACCCTAAATGGCAAAACCAAAGCATATTGCATACTTCGTACCATATATTGTTACAGACCCTTGCATGTGGGTGTATTTATATGCAGAGCAGCAGCAGAGGCCCTGAAAACCTTTGTTGTGGATTTGTGTAAGCATTCAATATAAAGACATTAATTATCTGTACTGAGGCTCCCCTCCTACTCCCTCACACCATGCTGCACAAAATACACCAAATGCCTTTATATGGAACGTAGCTGCTGCTTCCTGTAAATGTTTATAAGATGTTATTAAAAACATATGTCCTCTCTTCCCACAGACCTTGTTTAGAAAGCTTGCTGCAAGCATGTTGTTTTAGCTTTGCTTGCAAGAAGCAGCATCTGTTGTACTAAAAATGGTAGTTTTGTACAAATGCTTTTGTTGCTGTCTTTTGTAAAGCCAGATAGAATTGGGATGTGCGTTTGCATTGGCTCAGTCCCTTGACAGAGAGCTAGCAGAAGTTGTTTGTGCCAACATCTAGAGATTCTCCTTATTGAGACTAAACTGCAACCCTTAGTGTGATTAGCCATCTCTTTTTAACTCTTTGTGGTTAACTTTGGTGCCTAGAAAAATGGGACCTATGGTTGTATGTAGGCACTATAAAGAAATTACCGCCTAGAGTCCAGTGGGTATGTGCTGATTACATACCTGCAGGAGCCTGACCTTTCTGCTCTGTCACTCTGAGCAGGGCTTGCTTGCAGAGGTGAAACCACATTAGGCCAGGTACATGCTTGCTACTCCCATACTTGCTCAATCCCTTTTGACATCAGTGTGAGAACATAGCTCTAAGGGAAGGTAAGCAGTCAGGGTCAGAAAAAAGTGTCTAACAATGTCTGCTGCAGAAAAGGCATCCTTTTTTTTTTTAATCCTAATATGCAGCTAGCTTCTGTAGATCTTAGTGCAGTAAATCACTGTACTGCTTATCATGATTGTTTCTTTTACCTTTCTCTGCTTATTCTTCTGTTGTCTGAGTATATCCCAAAGATTCTTTCTGGATTTCAAAGTGGAGGACAAGCTGTCTTTCAAGCTTTTCTATGGTGTCTTAATGAACTGAAGAGGTAGCTGTTGAGCGATGCGAGAGCTGCTGTTTTCCTTGTATTTTTTGCTATGTGCCGACTCCACAGCAACAGGTTCAGTTGTTTGGGTTTTTTTTTTGGTTGCACTGCTGCACTTTTTCCTGGTGCTTGCCACCAACTCCCATTATAATACAGATGTTTTGGTTGAGGTTTTTTTCTTCAACCATTTAAGCTTCATTTGGTGCCCAGTAGCTGTCCTTTGTGATAAAGAATAGTGAAGTGAAATATGGGGTGAAGGAGAATAACTTGCAAGGAACCAAAGAAATAAAAGCAACCACTGTCCCCCTGTCTTAAGTCCTCAAAACCAGAGTATACAGCAGCCAGTACTTTAGGGGCCGTATAATGCTGTAGCCTGATACCGTGTAGTCATTTTACCTATGTAAGGTATTTTTCTAGTAGAGAGAGTGTGAAATTCAGAGAGATAATTCTATCCATGAAGATGGTCATCCCTAAGGAGGGATGAAATACTAGGAGGTGATGAAAACCTGCCCCAAAGCCTATTAAAATATTTGAGTCCTTTAAATAAATATAAACAAAGCCTATAAATAAGGAACAACAGATGGGGAAGGGCGCAAGTGTCAGTTGGTGGACAGTAAAGCACTTTTGATGAACAGTTTTTATGGGAGTAGGAGGCAAATAACTAAGTAGGAGGAATGGAGAAGCAGAGTTAGGAGAGAAGTTTGCTGAACAGGAACCAGAAAAAAGGAGCAGCAGTCTGAGAAAGTATGCTTGAATTTAAGTAGTGTCTGGAGATGGAGACCTGGAGTTCATCCACTGCTGGGAGCCAAGGAAATTGCTGCAGCACCCGGGTTTGCTTTACAGACTTGAAGAGATACTGTCTCTTCAACAAGTACTAGACATTGTGAGTTCAAACCTCACAAGAAGAGGAGATGACAAGGGCTCAATATGGGAGGCAAGATTCTCCCTTGCTTGCAGAGAAGCAGGATGATACATTAGAGCCCTGAAACCGTTTTGAATTGGAGCTGCAGTTTTATTAGTGCCCAGATTAAGCATCCTGCCTCCAACCAAGACCCCACCCTTTTCTAAATCATTCCTTCTTGGTTGGTCTCACCCACCTCAGTGAAAGGCTTCTTGTATTCTTATTAAACATGTATTCCAGCTAGAAGACCTGCCTCTAGCACAGCCTTATGTGCCCTTGCATTTTTCTGGGATTCTGCCAGTGAAACTCCCTAATGTTCTACAGGCAGATGGCCAGCAGCCAAGTTCAAAATGTGTTTTACTCCAAGTCCATAAACACGTAGCCCTATTAAGTGCGTGCAGAAGCAAAAATTTACATAGGATGCTTCAAATTTTTATGTTTTATTCTTTGCGTAGTGCGTGATCCAGTGGAATTTGGGAGTGGCATCTATCAGATGCCTATGAACGCTCGGCATATCTTCTCACATAGGCTTGGTCTTACAGTACAGTCCACGCATCATCTCTCTTGGTGGTCTACAGAGAATTGAAAGGTCTGTAGCACAAGACTTTTTCCCTGTCTCTCTTTAGAAATACTTGGATGTCTTTGTTAATGTTCACAGACTAGATTTTAAAAAGAAATTTAGGCACTTAAAGATGGAAAGCACATGACTTGGTGTCAATTCTGTGGACTAAGCAGCTCTGAAAATCTGATGTATAGGACTGGATAGGCGAAAGAGTATCCATGAAGAATCATTGCCAACTAGGAGATGTCAGTGAGTGAGGTATATCTATGGGAGAACAGAATGTAGTAGCCAAGCAGTATGGAGAGAGAGCAAGAGATGGGAGAGATGCCCAGAAGGGAGAAATGAGCAAGTGACTTGCAGAACACTAGAGAAGGAGAATAACACCATGGAAGGTGGCCTGGACAGAGTAAGGTTATGAAATACCTGGAAAACTGCATGCAAAGCACATAAAAAGTCAGCTCCCATTTCCATCAGAAGTGACTGTAGGAGGGAAATAAATGGAAGGAGAAGGATTATACCAGCTACAAAAAAATACTTGGCTTCCAGAAAGGACAAAGTCCTCTATTGTATCAAAATCAATTAAAACTGTATTGAAGGCTTTTCCATGTAAACATATAACCAGAGAGTTAATTTGGCAAGGGGCTGATAGGACCACCTCGTTGCAAGTGACAGGAGTGATAGTAGTCTCACAGGGTTAAATTTAACCCTCAACCGGGTTAAATTTGATATGTGCAGCAGAAGTAAACATTTAAGATCATGAACTGCGTCTTTGCTATGGCAGTATAGCCCTCAAGCAGAATTACTGTGTGACTATTTAATCTCTCTGTACCCAGTGGGGCAATGTTCATCTCTGCCTCCCAAGGGTATCCTGCAAATGGCATGCATTCCTTTTTGTGTCCTGTTCCATTTTTGCATGGTAGGATTATAGAGGTAAAGGTAGAATTGGCTTATCACTGTGCGTAGGCAGATATCAGGGGGTTATCAGTAGAGTTAGTGTTTACTGCTCCTGGCACATATCTGTCTTGTATCTCATGGGTTGAATTTGGAAGGAATGTGAGCAAAGGGATGCCTTTAGTATAACTCCGAGAAGTCAAGCCTGTATTTTGTTTTGAGGTGCTGGTTTAAAAAACTGTGTTGAAATTGTTTTTACTAGATATTCTTTCATTATCAAAAAATGCCTGTAGTCCCTGCAGTTGCTGGGGAAAAAACACCTCACTGAATAAGTATTGCAAGAGGTACCTGTTGAGATGAAAGGCTATCAATACGGCATTTTCTTCCTCTCCTGTCACAAGTGTGGTCCTTTTATTCATTGTCCCTTTGGGTCTTAATTAATGAAGGGCAGGAGGCAACTGGTTTACCTGTCCAGTGTGGTTGTGAAATCCTAAGATACCAACTGTGGGCAGCTAATGTAATAAAGTGAAGTTCCCCAGTGACTTTGAAAGTGCTCAGTGAAATCAAATGGCTTGCAGATCCTTTACGAGACTTAAAAAAGTGAATGTTACAAAAATTGTGAGTAAAAATCACCAGTCATTTTCTTTTTTTTTTTTTTCTTTTCTTTTTAACCTACAGATATTGATGATGTCAGGAAGCACAAACCAGGTTACCTTGAGGCTACAGTTGACTGGTTCCGATTATATAAGGTCCCTGATGGTAAACCGGAAAATCGGTTCGCTTTTAATGGAGAATTTAAAGACAAGGTGAAGATAATCTAAAATTAAAGAGGCATCTTTCTGTCATCTGGCCTCTTTAATACATCCTAGAATTTTTGGAATTGTAAAAGAAGAGGTTTAACAAAAAGAATTTTATGTGACGGGTCTTTGAATGTAATTTATTAAGCTAGGAATAAATGATGTTTGCTGCCTTCCATTTTATTCAGTGAGAATGCATAGCTTAAAGGCCCCTTCCAACCCAAACTATTCTATGATTAACAGAAGTCTGAAAAAAACATTCAGTCCTAAACCTGATGACTTATATATGCATCTGTATGTTTGTGGGTTTTTTAGCCCCAGCATTTTCATTCCCTCTGTCAGAGGAATGGACAGTTGTCTTTTCAGATATTTTTTCAGTCTTAGTAGGTAAATTCTCATATTTTTTTAAGGCTATGCAGTTTAAGACAGGTTGCAGATTTTTTTCATATTTGGTATTTGCTCAACATACATTTTTTCCTGGTAGTTCTATGTAAAAACATTTGAGCTGTTTTTGGCTTGAAGGCTGAAAAAATATTTTTCCCTTTTTTAGAAAAAAATGAATGGTGTGTTAAACTATCTACAGTAAAAATGGCCAGTATTTGAAAGGAGAGTGGACCTGGGAATAGACCTTGCTGAAGAAAATACCTGGATTTTTCCAGAGGAATTTGGGTGTGATTTGAGTAAAAAGTGCTTTGCAAATTGTGTATTGCACACTCTGTACACTATTTTTGGTGAAGAATCACAGGTTCCTCATGAATGATGTCCATGTGTCAGCTCATTCAGGCTTGCAGTGTGCTATCAAAGTTATAAAATGCCTTCTAACCAGCACAGACATCTTTACATGTTTTGTCTGGTTGAAGAGATGCCCTGACTCACCTCTGCACTAAAACTGTCTTTTAAATCAATCAAATGTAGAGTTGTAAGGCTTGATAACCTCATCTCTTCCCTATTCTCCCAGGAACTCCTCTTGGACATTTCCCTGCTGTCTAAAGGAGAGGGTTGCTTTGTAGTGACAGTTTAACAGGGTATATCCCTGTCAGGCCATTGGAGTTCAGGCTTGAGGCACTAAATGCCTGGAGATAGCTGGTTTGGAGCACTTGAATAATTCTCAAGCATTTCTGGAGACCCAGGATGTGACGAGGCAGCCATGGCTGTGCTCCAGCAGCTCTGCTGAAGTTCACAATGTTCCAGTGGCATTTTGCCAAGTCGCTCCTTGTTAGGAAATGTGAATGTTCTGTTGGCAGCTTTTTACAAGCCAGTCTAGATATCATCATCTGGACACTGAGGGCTTATTTTACTTTATTAATTTTTTTTTATGCTTTTTCATACCCACCCCCAATATTACTTTTTGTTTTTAAACAAACAAAAACTGTTAAGCAGCTGACATATTACGTTGTTGCAAATGCTTAAGTAGATGATTGGGCAATTAATGAAGTAAATTCGAATCTTGCCACTAGAGGGGAAACCTTAACTCTGACCCTGATGTGCACGTGTAACAGAGGAGTCATAACTCACACACTTTGTCCCATTTAGGTGCTGGTACAGCTTTCTACAGCTGTTAGGTGTCTGATTAACATCTAGTACTGATTTAATTTTTTTTGTACAGCTTTTGTGTTGTCTGGCTGTGGACTGAGAGAAGGTCCTGAATGTGTTGCCAGTGTATTTAACAGATAGTGAAGTTTGTTTCTTTTCATAAAAAAAGATGTTCTATTTTCCAGAAATTTAATGAGGCCTCAAAGGAGGCCTCTTAAAATAACACATGAAACAGTATTTCTTAATAAACTAGTTCTGTGGGTTTTTTTCTGTTTAATACCATTTTAAATTACAAAACTTTTCCTTGATGTAAACTAGGATTTTGCTGTTGAAATTATTAAGTCCACCCATGAATACTGGAAGGCTTTGCTTCATAAAAAAGCTGATGGAGGCACTATTAAGTGGTAAGTATCCAGTCATGTCTTTTCCTCTTTGTATGGTGCTAGTACTGGTGGTATTCAACATGTGTCAGCTGCACGTGAACTGCTTAGATTTTTTTACAGAATCATTAAGGTTGGAAGGGACCTTCAAGATCATCAAGTCCAACCGTTAACACCACCATGCCCCCTAGGCCATGTCCCAAAGCACCACATCCACACGTTT